TTTTTTTTTTTTTTTTCGTGGTTTCTTTTACATTTATCTTTACTCCCGGAGTTGGGTTTAATGTTTAATCTATGACACGTCGCCATACAATTTCCATTGACCTGGTAATTAGATTTGTTAGTGATGCTGAGTTGCTATCTGCAGATGTCTACCCAGAAAGACTACTCGATGGCAACTGCTGATGTTGTCGATGCAGAAGTGAGAGAGTTGGTAGACACAGCATATACAAGGGCCAAACAAATAGTCACAAAGCACATTGACATTCTACACAAGCTTGCTCAACTGCTAATCGAGAAAGAAACTGTCGATGGAGAAGAGTTCATGAGCCTTTTCATTGATGGGAAAGCTGAACTGTACATTGCTTAATCAATCATAGTTTGACAACTTGAAAGAATCATATTTTGAAATCTCAATAGTGTTGTATATTATTTTCTACATTTCAATGTATGCATTGAGAAAGTGAGTGATTATTAGACAAGTTTGAGTGGAAAAGAATTGCATGAATACAACATACATATTCGAGTTAAATGTATTTATTTTACCCTCTTTAAAATACACGTCTTGGAAGGTAAAAAGAATAGTGTTGTGTGTACATATTTTACGGCCCCATAGTGTATTTTGGTTAATATTATTCTATTTATTCGATATGTGATTTATTCTTGACAATAACGACCTTAGTATATAGGGTATGTTTGCCCAATTAAACAGAAGAAATTCTTATTCAATAAATAATGAAATCTCAATAGCAGATTAAAAGGGGAAAGAGGTAGAGTAAAATTATTATGGTCTTTTATAGTAAAGAATGATCTAGTTAAATTTATTTTCCTATAAAAATAGCAATAACACAAAATAAAACCAAAAATAAATTTTTATTATTGGTTGGTGGCTATAGAACCTGTTTTCATTTCCAAGAGATTCCAAAAAGAATGAGGCAACTAAAAAAATAAATTCTTAATTGCATCTTTTCATTTATTTATTTGTTTCACCCTTAAAGATGGACATACTTGATAGTTGATACTTCTATTACCCTAATTATTGAAATTAATTGATAGAAAGTGCAAATCTGGCTAAGCACTTATAAGCCAAAGTAATTGGAATTGACAATTAAAAACCGGAAACGTATTGCAAGTGTCAAAACCAATTATCAAGAACACACAAGTATCCTTGTTAAAAAATACTTTATGAATAATAAATTCCCCCCAAAATCCGGCTGGGACAGTTGCCTTTAGGGCAGCAAAATATCCAGCTATGCACTCGAGGAACATGGAACATGGTCATCGTCTCGAATCTTATTTATTTTTCATTTCTAATTATAAATCATACTTTAAAAAAGTAATATTAATAAAATAAACCAGAATATTTTAATGTCCCGCCCGTCACCCGAAAATCTCCTACGACACAGGTGATTGAGAGGCCCAACTCATCTCGTTATCATCCCTAATTGTCCTATGGTACAAATGTGGTTCTATACCTTGCTCTTAGCTTATCGCGATGTTCATCAATTAGTCGGGTTTAAGATTGACTGCCAAGAAATCTAGCTAGAGTTAAAAATGTTGTGTGCCGGTGTTATAATGAACAAAAAGAAAAAAAGAAAAGAAAAGAAAGTGATGCTATTGGAAAATTTTCACCAACAGGGTTTGGAAAAGAAAATCGAGAAACAAAATATTAGGAAGATGAAATGAGTAGACATCAAAACAAAATATGAAGGCTTAAACACGAAATTAATCTCTCTCTCTTCAAACGATATTTGCCTCCTCTCGGATATGATATTGGTGCTTAAAGGGACTTGCGGCAAACGGTTTGTAGAATTAATTAAGTCTTGTTGTAGAAAAACACAAAAACACAAATATATTTTTACCCAAACTTGAAGAATATATAGGAAATGTATGAATATGGAAGAAGAAAGGATTTTCCTTCTTATGGAATGAAGATATAGTGTTTTTCATATGTTAGTAACATGTTTTCATCCTTTTTGTATTGATCACTTAACACCTATTTATATATATCAATCAATACCTCCCAAATTGGTGCCAGATTATGATGAAGAGTTGCAAGAAACCCTCCAAAAAAGGCCAAAAAACCAACTAGACGGCCTCCAACGACCATTTTTTATGTAACGCATGGTTCAAAGGTGACCCGGCCCCCAATTTTTTGCAATAGGGTATATGACCGCATGGCCGCATAGGCCATGTCTTTAGCATCTCCAATTCCTTTTCGTTCCACATGCCATTTATTGATTTTGAACAACTTTTTCCATCAAATGCTAGATAGGGAAACAAGGCCTAACATGGTCGAAAAGGATACATTGAGATAGGTCGATTTACCTAAATGAGAGTAGGACTAGGGGTGTCAAATAGGCCGAGCGGCTCATCGACTCGGCTCGTTAAACCTCAACTCATGGATTTGACGAGCCCGAGCACGGGTTGGATCCAACAAGCTGAGCTCGCGAGCGACTTGTGGGCTCGTAAAAAATGTGAACAAAAAGTTCGAAAAATTTTCAAAAAAATAAATAAATTCAAGCTCGTGGGTTTAAGGGTCGAGCCGAGCCCATTGCCACTAAGTAGGACTAATCACCCCGCTCTTTGAGGAAGACAACCACTTTTGGGCGAGACACTCCAACGATGGCAAGTCTATCGTGAAGAAAGAGGACTCTTATAGAAATGTGTAATTTCAAATAAACGAGTATGTCAACTAAACCTACATGCATAGGTGGAGCAAATACAAGAATCCTCTTTGTTCCGGTTAATTGAGTTTAGAACAAGAAAGAGTTGTCGCGACCGATTGCCAACTCGTATCTTCAATGTTGATTCTTTCAATCCTCGTCTGGCTATTGGATTGGTTATATCGATGAGATATTTTTGCTCCTAATACGTTGTAACTACAGAGATTAATGGGATGCATGCCTCCCTGTTGGGAATCTACTTATACATGCACAGTGGAATTTAAAATAATTTTCGATTCCCACCAAGAATCGTCTTTGTGTTTAGATAGAAATTGTGATAAGATTGTACCTTTCCAGATCTGCAAATTTCTTTGCTTTTCTTTCAGTTCCATCAACCTTGATTTGCCACCACAGCTGTCCAATTGTCCAGCCTCCAACGTTGATCCACACAGAGAATATGATTGCAGCCTCTAGGGTTTTCTCTTGTGCCAGCAAAAATAATGAAAACCTTATTGGACCTCAAACCCTAGTTATATATTTATATGAACCCAAACAGGCTCGACCCGGTCCGGTCCAATAATTAATTAATCCAATTAATTAAACCCGATTCGTGAATTAATTAATCCAATTAATTAATTCAAAAATATAAATAACAAATCCAATTAATTAATTTATCCAACGATTGTTAAATTAACCAATTGGCGATTCGCAATCTTCCAATTCTCTTTTGTGTGTGACCCATTAGGCTCCCGACCACGATGCCTAACGACGTGAAATATTATTTTGATCTAATCAAAATTGATAAATTAAAACACCCTTTTAATTTATCGTCAATTCACATTCGCCGTCCCTGATTGACATCTAGCAATGTGTCAGGGCAATACATGTGACGGGAAATGTCACGTGGTATGACAAAACCAAATTCGTTCGTTTACCGTGAAACTATAATCCCTTCGTCAATATGATCCGATCAATTACGAGATATGGAGTTGTGTCAATCTCGATCATCGATCATATCTTTCACTCCATTATTAAGTCAATATAAGTCGAAAACTCCTTTTTGACTTATGAGTACACCTTGGCCAAGGATTTCATCATCGACTTAATTGAATGAAACGCAGATCATAATCTCCTACTATCTAAGAGTGACGAATCCTTTATTGATCAATCACAACCTTTATACGATTCTTGACATACCCGAACGATATCGTATTAGCGGCCCTTTTCAGAGCAACATCCAACACCGCCAAAGTATGACTGTCCTCATATAAGGTACTATGACGACCTCAAGTCAAAAGGACCAATTCCACTACCGAACGTTAGAGATTAACCACTGACACTCAGATAGTTATCCATGTGGAATCTCTCGACGGGTCTCCAATGTTTTGTTCTATAACAAAAACATCCACGTGTTCATTTAAGTGTCACCACACTTTAGGTTGTGAGATCAGCTACTTACTTCACAAGTAAGAAATGCCACACGTGATGGTCTATCCGTAATAACGATATCCGTATCTCGTTATTACTTACGACCACGGATGATTTAAGATTCAATCAGATGTAATTTGTATCTCACAATCACAACTCCTTGTGATTAACAAATTACAAATATTTGAATCTACGGACTCTATTATTTATTTAATTGTCTATTAATTAAATAATAGATCTGCCATTTAATTGCATTAATTATATATATAAAAGTATTTATGTCCAAAGTTGATTGGACCTAGGATATAATACTTACACTCCCTACAGAGATTAATTGGTTATATCTATTAATGCGTACTTATTTACAAGTTTACTTGATCTCAAAAAAGTGATGATCCATACAACTAACAAAATTCCTCATGGCTTCTTTCCATTTGTTCAACCCCAATGATGGACATATCTCTAATTCTAATGGATATATTCCCTAATTATTTAAAATAATTAACATAAACTGCAAAATAAGATAATCGCTTATGAGCTAAAAGCCTAAAATAATTGGTACTGACAGTTGAAAAATCCTAAACATATTGCAAGTTGCAAAACCAATTATCAAGAACTCAGTTATTGCCAATTCATCTCGGTTCCTATTAATTAGACAGAAAAATTATTCATGAGACTAATGCCACAGAATTATGGAAAATAATTGCTTAATTATGGGATTTCATGCAAACTAAACAACTTATGCAATTATTGATTACTCAGTAAAAATAATTACTTGACTAATTATAATTTAATCACATGAGGATTAATTCATTACTGCTCCGCACTATCTTTCGTGTTCGGCTGTTTATTTATATATTTTTTGGCATGGTCCTGACTGATCCAGTTCATATATCAGATCATGCGCCTCAGTGCTAGGAATTGTTCCCTACATGAAGCTCCTGTATGGTGCATTTGCTGTCATTTTTGTATTCAAAATTAATGAAAATTTGTGAAATGTTAATCTGTAAAAATTTTGTCAAATGAAAAGTTGCCAAGTGTTAATTTATAAAAATTCTATCAAATATTTCTTATATATGTAGCATAACTGCTAGTGCTAGCTTCGCTGTCTTTGATAAAAGTAACGTGATATATCATGGTTGTGACGAGTTAAGTATTGAGATTTTTTTCTAAATAATCAATTTTAAAATATAATATTGGGGGAAGTGTTCATAAACTATTCTAATTATAAATAATTAAAAATGAATAGTCAATAAGTATGAAGTATTATGAATTTTTTAAAACGTGAATAGAAAATGATTTGAAGATTATAAATCGTTATATACATGAGCCAAGTATAAGCATAAAAATAAGATTTAATTTGTTTTTAATGTTAAAAATGAAGATTGTGGTTGGAAATGCGACGTTTATTGAACAAATGTCACAAGTTTAAATAACAATATACAGAATTTTTATAAAATGATAATGTTATGATCGAAATTTTTTTAAGAGTTATTTATTTATTGTTAAATTAAAAATTTATTGATTGACTACTAAATGAATATTTAGTAGTTTAGAAAATATTTTATATTTTACGTGTAACTCGTACATATATTATTATTATTTTTTAACTAAAACACGTTGGAAAAAACATTTAAAAATGTATTTGGAAAATGCTGTTTTTAAACAGTTTAAATTATCAATAAATTATAATGAGTGGTGGATCAATATATGGATTTGTGGATCTTTCAAATGTGTGAATAAAAAATGGTTTAAGTGTTTATAATAATTCCAAACACAAACTAAATGCAATCAAATTTCAAAAGTCTATGTGTTCATATACAAAAACTCTAAAGTTCACATGTACATAAATAAATAAAAAATAAAAATAAATAAAAATTGATCATACACTATAGACGAAACATTAATGTACATGCATAAAAGTTTAAGTACATAATATATACAATGAATGTGGCTTCAAAATTTAATTTCTTAGAAAATTGTTTCAAGTTATTACATAAACGTGAAACATAATTTGTAGTTATTAGATGCTTATTGTTTTGAGAAAAGAAGCTAATTGTCAAAAAAAGAAATAAAGCTGTCAAATACAAAGTTCTTTAAAATTTAAACAGTGAAATTTTATGTATTTAATTTAGCAGTTGCTATTTATATATCTGCTGGCTGGATCTTAAAAAAATAAATAAAAGTATTTTCTTATGTATTTAATGAGATTGTTAATTTAGTATAGTTGGAACCAAAGAATTTTATTATTTAAGTAAATTTATTTATTTATAATATATTCATTCATCAAGGTTTTATGGAAAAAAAAAATCTTTAAAGAGAAACAAAATTTAAATTGACTAATTACCTAAAACAAGTAATCTAGTGAATAATTTGTAACTAATTCGAGTAACTTAGCCTTTTTTTGACAACTACTATTTTCAAACTCTTTTTTTACGTATTCATTTTCAACCACATATTTATACAATAAAATATTACATAAACCCAAACCTTCTTCCTATTTTTAACTACATTCTCCTAAAAATCACAATTCAAAACTCTATTTAAAGGAAGAAAATAAATGATCAAGAGCATACAAGACTTATAGAGATTCGCCTCAATATGAAATTACGTCATCTCCCACTGCTACAGTAATTTTCTATGATGAGAGAATTTTAGTAAAGAAAATATTAATCATCAGGACGGTTCCTCCTACTCATAAATTTGACATACTTATTTGTCAAATAATCATAACGTTGAATTTAAGTCAATCAAATGATCAATATAAAGTTTACTAAGATCATGGGAGAGTTTGTTTTAATCACTTGAGATTCATTAAAATATTGAACATTGCATTGATTTAAATTAAAGACCATGATTATTTGTCATATACGTGTGTTTAATTTATAAGTAGGAGGAACGCTTCTAATTAGCCATATCTCCTTTACCCTCTCTTTCTCTCTATTTGACGATAATACACAAAGTTTATGAACTGCTCTCAATTTATAAGATAAATTATAGAAAAATTGAATTTTACAAGGACTCATTTTCCTGCATAAAATTGTAGAAGAATACAAATTTTTAAATAATCTTTTAATTTATATTTTTCGTCTGGGGGCTCCGACCCCGTAACCCTCGGGAGGGGGACTGCCTGACAACCCCATGGCAATTCTTATTGCGTAGGTCGATTCGATTAGCTTTGTGAAGTGGCAATAATTAGAATTCAACAACAATTACGGTCCGCAACTTAAGCATCAACTCGATTGGCCCCAATATGTGTGAAGATTAAAAAATACCTGAACGAAATGTACAAAGATTTATGTCAATAATTAAGACATGGAACTGATAAGCTAAAAATGATTTATTTGATCTGCTTGTTAATTACAAACTAAAATATCAAGTGACAGACTGAAATTATATAATTATTTTCACTGTAAACCAACATACTGTACAATATGTAAATTCCTTTTTCTTTTCTTTTTTTGTTGTATAATATTCACTTCCTTTTTATCGCTACTCTTTCACAAAAGAATAAAATATGATTAAAAAATTCCAAAAAAAATAATAATAATAATAATATGAGAAAAGAAAATGTAGTAAATCTTTTGTATTCTTCAACGTCGACTTTTCTTCCTGGTTATTGAGTAAGAACATTTAGCAGCGAAACCCTAGTATTCATCAAACTCCTAAAAGTTCTTTCTCCACAGCCCTCAATTTCAACAATAGAATCCTCCAATTGATGCAGTTTCTTGGACGCCATTTTCACCTCTGCATCTCCTTTCTTCTTCAAACCCCACAAGTTCTCAATATTTAGTTTCTCAAATTCTTCAATGGCTTCATCCATCTTCACTTTTTTTGCCTTCTTGCCGAAGTTTAGCCCCATGCAAGATGGTTTCTGGAATGAAAATGATGTCGAAAGTCGACCTAAAAGTTCGACAGAAACCAGCACTGTAACCTGAATAACATCTCTAATGATGTCAGTAATCTCAGTCCCATTATCAGGGATTGAGTATTTTCCAATGGATTGGACAGTAGATACCAATTTGCTCATATCTTTAGCCGTTTTGTTTAGATTTTTCAAATGGATAGCCATTTTGGATTCATCTCTTCTTCTTACAGCCACCTGAGCCGCCATGAATTCTTCTTTCAACGTCAAAATCAGCATTTGGAAGATTCCATAAACGTCGACAAATCGAAGAAAGTCTTCCAGAAGCTTTTCAATCATCTGATCAGAGAGTGATTCCTGAGTCAGTGGAAGCTGGAGAAGATCATCGAGGGATTCATGAACAACTTTCACCCTGTTCAGGCCATTACATAGCCAAACAGATGTCCGGTTATCGGATTTCGAACCCCATGATTTAAGCTCATTGATTTCATCCTTGAGCTGAGAAATTATGGGGTGGGTTCTGCATGGAAGACTTGCTGATCTAACATGGAAGGTTTTTTTGGATTTTGTTGAATAGCTAGGCTGATTTGGGAAGGAAAGAGATCTACGATAACCAGCCACCATTTTGTCAATGATGCCGCGTCTTTTAGCAGTGAATTTGTGAATATTGTAATTTCTGAAGTTTGACAAGGAACTGGATAGTTTATAAAGGGAGCAACACAACGCGGAGAGAGAAATGGAGGGGACACACGAGGCGTAGGGGTGGGGTGGGGTGGGGTGGCGTAGGGTAGGGTAGGGGAAGAGTGAGACTTGGATCCAAGAATATATACAGGCTGGTGAAGATGGAAAATGCATGTGGGCATGCAATAATCTGTATGTGTTTATTTTACAGGTTCTCCATTTCTGGTGGAGGCCACAACACCACGTGCGAGTGACAATCTGTCTTCATTAAACTCCTGTCGCCAAGGTAGGGCAGGGGGGAAGCGGCAGCGATTGGATGGAATTGAGCTGTCATAAATCACCGTGAGATATAAACGAATCGAGCAGAATCGAACCAAAGCTCGATCAAAAAATCTAGGCTTAACTTGGGTTTTAAGATTGAACTGAGCCAGCCTGCTCATTCTATTTTCATTTATTTGTGGTAATGAAGCAGGCAAATGGGCATGTAACACAGGCCATTTTGGCCTACCACATGGACCAGCTTAGGCTCAAGTCATCACCCAAAAATGAGGTTAAGTGGAATCGAGTCGACTCGGACTTTTTACAGGTTGAGCTATATGGGCTGTCCGAGCAGACGAGTTGGATTGACATCCTACCATGAAAATGGGTGAGAAAGAAATATTTTGTTTTGCAATTTCATTCATAATTTTATTTGATTTGGCATAGATTAAAATTAAAATTTTAAAATAATTAATGGTACTTGTCAAGAAGAGAGTGAAGCAAAAAATAAAATATATATATATATATA